GTGTGTGTGTGTGTGTGAGAGAGAGAGAGAGAGAGACAACTGTTACACTCCAATTCCATCCATCTATTTTTATGTGCATTTTGAGATATCGCATAAAAAAACTCTGTATGGAAATGCCAAGATGCGCATATATTCTAAAAAATACTTACGCGCTCAACTAAGTAGGATAAATGTCTTATCTGGTAAGAAAACATGCGCATAAACTACGATGGAAACACTTTTACCGAATAAATTCCTTGAAAGACATGTGACTGCGATGGGACTGGACTAATCAGCACCGATCTCGTTGCTCAGCATCTCAGATGCTAGTTTTAGATCATTCTAAAACGCTCGAGCAAAGTCTCGTCAGAGTGCTTCATTATAATTAACTCCAGAAGAACTGCGTTCCCAAACAGCAGGCTCTGAAAATAAGATAACGACCGCGTTTCGTCTCGTCATTTATTGTATACGCAAAATTATTATACAGTACCTTCTACTATACTGCAGCAAATTTAATTTTTCTTCGTGATATTTAGCGCAAGTTAATCGGGAAGTGACGATTTTGTTCTCTTCCACGCACTGGATGGAAACGATGCTTTATTCGCAAATGTTTTATGCGATATTTCAGTTTTGCGCATATGTTTAATTCGTAACTTTGGACGGAAACCTAGCTGGCTTCAGCACTGAATAATGTGGACTGATCCGGATCATGTAAATCCGGATTCATAAGAACACAATGGATTCTCACCAGGTCTCGTCTGACTCTCCGCTCGCGCTCTGCAGGTCCAGCAGCGTCAGCTCGTCTTCATCATCATCCTCATCCTCGGCGGCGGAATGCGGCTGGAAATACGGGAACGGATCTGGCGGGATGCAGCGGGAGCTCCGCAGCTGCTCGTTCTGCCGCTCCAGTCTCCTCACGAGCTCCTGCAGCTTCTGCACCTGCAGCTCAGCGCGAGCATCCGCCATCATCCGCCGCTCCAGCACCGCCGCCTCCATCCGCACACACACACACACACACACACACACACACACACACACACACACACACACACACACACACACACTCGGAAAAAACAAAAAAAACTTGCCACTTTTAGACTTGCACTCTATTCATTTACTAACTGCTCGTTTTCTTATAAAAATTCTCTATTCTCTTAAATGCTCTATTCTTTTCTCTATCTGTTTTCTTTTTATTTATGATATAATTTAAAATAAAAAATCCTTGCTGCGTGTACTGCGTTAAGCTAACTGAGACTTGTTATAGCACTTGTATATCATTGCTCTTTTGTTGGTTTTGATTACTTCTGTTGTCCTCATTTGTAAGTCGCTTTGGATAAAAGTGTCTGCTAAATGACTAAATGTAAAAGTATATGTAAACACACACACACAGACACTCAAACACACACTCTCACACATCTATCTATCTATCGTACTGAATTAAAACAGAACTCTTGTCAGAATCAGAATAGTTTTATTATGTGCGTATCATGTTTTCAGTTGAACATCAATGTCAGCTACACTCAAATGAATTTAAAAGAACAGATTGCATTTGCATATTTGAGTATATATTCTCATAAATTATCAAAGCTTTGCCCATTAACAACCTCAAGAAAGCATTACCATATAAATCCTGTAAACATTTTCCTCAGGAATATAATATAAAGCATGCCTCATATCCTTATGCCATTTTACATCTTAATCAACTGTAATTTATAAGATCAGTTGTGTTGAATTATTGTCTTTATTAATATTCAGTGTCTCCATGTAGATTGATGCCCGTTTGTCTCAAATATACCACTGACCTGAAACAAATGAAATCAACAGACATCATGTAGGACAGTCTATATGAAGTATAATTTTTTCACGTTACATGATAGTTAGAGGTGATTTTAAACCATAATTGATTTTGAATGATGTGTTATGATGCTCCTGTGAAGAAGTGCATTACCTCTGATTTTACTGAAGCAGTTTGCGCAGTTCACTCGCTCCCGATAGACCCAGAGAGACTTTCCCGCCTCCAGACCGCCGAGATCACAGCGACACACTGCGCACTACACACACAAACACACACACGTCACACACAGACACACACAGACACAGACACACACACACACACACACACACACACACACACACACACACACACACACAGAGAGACAG